CCGGAGAGGCTTAAGAGTCAACGAATCGAAATCTGTGTCGGGAGAGTGACGACGGAGAGAACACAGAGAAACGGAGGAGAAAAGAGCCAACGTGAGGAGGCGTTGCGGTGTCTTTGGTTTCTCTCCGATTAGGAAAATAAAGACCAAGTTCTCCGCTAATTTTATTAAAATTCCAGTTTTACCCTTGACTTCTCTTGCTTATTTATTACACTCTAGGTTACAACATATTTTAAACGCCATATTTATTGTTCAAGAGTTTCGAATTATGGGATACATAAATCGTGTTATGTAAAAAGGGTTGTCTTAATTGTTTCACTAGTTATGTAAAAAGGGTTGTCTTAATTGTTTCATAATCAGCATTTGATGAATGTAAACTGTGAAGAGGAGTGTATTAGTATAAAACAAGGCTGGAAAGAAATTGCAAATGTGAGATGATTGATATTTCAACTGGAAGTTTCAAAACTTTATAAAGCCAGTAACACAAAAGTAAACAAAAAAACCACAAAACATCACAATTGTTTCAGATCCTCAGGATTACGAAACTCGAACTAGATAGTGCGAAAAGCTAAGTGTTTTAGTCATTCCTGCGTTTACTCGATATGATGGCATTTTTAGGCTGATGAAGCTGCTGCCTTGTTCCTTGGCTTCGCTTCAGTACCTATGAGAGAAATGTGCAATCAAACACACCATTTTGAAACCACATTTTTCTCTGCAAGAAAGAAAAATCAATCAAAGTGAACGTAAAATAGATACATTACCTTCTCTGAATCCAGTCTTAAACCGGCGAGGAACATTACGGAGATACCTCATCCTACCGGTACCAGTAGTCTTCCTCCTGATGGCTTTCTCACTCCAATTGTCTATACACCAAAGAGATACAAGGATTCATAAATCTTTCACAAAGATATATATCACAACTGTGAAAGAGACACAAATGCTCATCCATTTCTAGAAATTTCCAACAATGATTACAATACAATTCACCCATCAAATCAGACATAATACACTACACTCTATTCCTTAACTAATCCATCCAAAGCATAACGAGCTTAAACATAATCATGTGACTAAGGCAACACTAAGCAAATCTTAAAGTTTCAATCTAGGAAACAAAACATAGATCGAATAAAATGAAACAAAAATGTTGAGATAAAAAAGAAAAAATGAAGAATCTTACAGCTTCTCTTGCGAGCAGCAGGGTAAGCACAAGCAGAGCAACGACTCTTCTGGAGGTGGAAGCTACGACGACCACATCTCACACAGAGAGTGTGACTCTTGTTCCTCCTCTTACCGAAACTTCCTGTTCCCTTTGTCTGAAATACTCAAAAGTTTCCACAACAATCAATATCATCAGAAATGGTTTCGAGTAATAAATCGACAAGAAATTGTAGAGGGAAAGAGATGGAGAAATCACCATTGGAGCGACGACTTGCGTGCAAGAAAACCCTAGGATTCGGCTTCAGAGAAGAATTTATTGAGAGAGAATTTATATGAAGGTCGGGTTTTTGATTCTAGGGTTGGAAGTAAAANGCATGGGCCTTACAAATACTAATGGGCCCAATTACGCAAATGGGCCTAATTGCATCAAAATTTCTGTTGTCCAATAAGAAGGTTAAGCTCTATTCTCTTTTGGAAAAGTATTGTTTCTTAACCATTCAAAAATCTTAAACAAGAACAAAAATTAAAGAAAACTATAATTAGTTGCGCCAAGATTATGTAAAATCAATTCGGATTAAGGTTGGTGGGTAGGTCCAAAGGCAGAATAAGAGCAGGCTTTAGCTTTGCATCTTAATGAATGCTAAACCATGCTTTAGACAACAATTAGTCAAACTAAAAATAGTCCTTCCACAAAGAACGTACGGTTCCTTGTTTACACAACGGTAATTTCAGTTTTCTTTTGTATACGTGATCCAAAACTTTAATTTAAGATCTTCAATATCATCAAAAGACATATATATAAACATGTAAAACAAAAAGAAAAAGGTGACATTCCAGGACAAGACAAATTTTCACTTTATGCTGAGTAATAGACACTAAAGTGACATCACAAATACTATGATACCAAAAGTAACATACAACACATTTATAAAACATATAATTCGATTTCATTGACTACAAAAATGATTTATATATGTGAGAGAACATTGATCTGCCGACAAACAACATATCAGTTTGCAGTGAAGAAAGATGTTTCAAAAAACAAACAGTTTCTTCCACAGAACACTTCACATTCTCAAGTCAATCATTCTCCGAGCAGGTAAGAAACTCCCTAGACCCAAAACTCACTTCTCATGCACATTTTGCAGATCAAATTCTCTCGATGGCGACAATATCTACTCGAGTTTCCTCAACATCTGGGAGTCTGATCTCGAAAACAGCTTTGGAGGTCTATTAAAGTTGGAGCAGAAAGCT